GGGTGCCCGATGCCCACATGCCCAGGCTGTCCCCTGCCACCCTGTGCATCCCATGGGGACGCAGCGCACCTGCCCCTGCACCACAGGATCATTCAGGGCAAAACCTGCCCCTCCCGGTGGTATCTAAAAGCCACCGATGACAGCGGTTTGGGGGCTCAGGAACAGGTTCCTGGCATCCAGACCCAGGCAGCACAGAAACCAGGACCACAGGAGTCCTCCCCGACTCCCGCCTCAGTTAAATAATGACTGCTGTACATGCTTACACGTGCACAGACGTATATACACCTATTTATATAGAACCCCCCTTGCTTGTCTGAATCCCAGCTTTTCACAGGGAAGCGCGAGAGGCAGCACGGCGGCGGAGCGAGGTCCCGGGCAGTGATGCCCTCACGTCATGGACGGATGCGTGAAGCTCCTCTGGCTCGTGCTCTTGCAGCTGAGGACGAAGGAGGAGGAGTTGCTCTTCTTGCTGACGCTCAGGTCGCACGCCGGCCGCGACTTCAGGTAGCGCGTGGAGCAGCAGAGGAAGCGCCGCATCAGGTCGTGGAAGAGGTGCCCGGTGTAGAGCATGTAGATCCAGGGGTTGCAGCAGCTGTTGAGGCTGGCCAGGAGCATGGCGATGATGAAGGGGGAGGCTGCAAGGCAGAGAGAATGGTAGCATCAGGGCACAGCGCAGGCGGCGAGAACCACCACCCTGGGTGCCGGGCACATGCCCCGGTGGGCTCTGCCGAGAGCCCTGAGCTCTGCCGGCACCACGGCGCCTCCTCCCGCACCAGGGATGGGCTGCCCTGCCTGCCGGAACGTCACGGTCCGTATATCAGGAAAGAAGAGCTGTTAAATGAAGAGGGGGGAAGCAAGTCTGGTTTGAAGCAACTTAGGTTTAGGTTTTTTCCCCCGGAAGAGCTGCGTTTCCCCCGCTCAGCTCCTGCAGTGCTGCCTGCTCGGCGCTACCTAGAAATGCCTCACGGAGAGGCAGAGCTGCCCCCGGCATCATCTGCGCGACGTGCCCCTGTGGTGCCCACAGCGGGGCGGGGGGAGCCCGGCCCCTTGGAGTTGCCATGGCAAACAGCAGGACCGGGATCAAGAAGAGCCGGGCGGCTCGTTTCTCCCCACCAGCGGCCACTTTG